CGTATAGCGGCTGCCAGAGGCGCCAATGTATGCTTTCGGTTCGACCTTGTTGAGCTGCGTCGTTGCTGTACTTTGCGACGGCGATTAGCCGCGACAATTGTTGTTGTTGTTATCCCATTAGCGACATGACAATGCCCTATGCAATCGGCCATCCGATATCAGTCCGGAATATTTCTGATATGGATCGCAAGGCGATGCCTCGATGGCTCCCAAAACTTTGTCTTCACGATTTTTAGAATATGATCAAGATGTAACGAGAATCTCATTTTTTCATCCAACTAATACATGGGGAGTAAACATTTTGAAAAAGAAAAGTCAAAGAGGAACTCAACTGAATCACACCGACCTAGTTACATCCGTTTAACTAATGCTGATTCAGTTGTGCCTTTTAAAGCCTTATCTGTGTGAGGTATCAATAATAGAATCATACAAGGTTTTCCAGAAAAAATGGTAACAGCAACAATAACACTTTGCAATACTGTTTCAAACAAGTAGTCAGACCATTTTATTCCTTTCACCGGAACGTCGAATTCATGGTTGAATTGATTCCAAATCAAGCTGACTTTGTGCTAAAAAGGATCGAACTGTGATTCAAATTTTTCCTCGTGTTGTTTGCTTAGCTTAATCATTCCTTTTTGTTGGCGCGCGTGGTAAAAATGACGTTGTGAGGCAGACGAACAGCTCTGGCTCACAATCGTTATTAAGACGTATTTAATTTTTCTCCCAGGTTATATTTACACACGTGTCTTTAACAATCCCGGCAAGATTTAACTATTATAACTGCTTCTAGTTTCTTTCGTTATTCAGCACGAAGTGTAGAAAATTCACTCGAGTTTAATAAATTTTACAGTAACTGTACAGCTCAGTGCCGTATGTATACGGTACAATTGGAAAGAGCATATTCCTAAGTTTTTCTAGCCTTTTCTCAGCACTAAAAGTTCCATTTTTTTTTTTTAAGATCCTTTATAAAACCAGTTGGATTCAGCTGAATTTTCTTTAAATCTTATTCTCTCCTGTTAAATTGCTCAATTGTTTTGTTCTTTTTGACATGAAATAAAGTGGCTTTTAACCAGCTCTTTCAGCCTAGTGCAAAGAAATGATTGCGATGAAAACTATTTTCTCTGGGTATCAACCGAATGTCGCAATCGTTATTCATAATTTTATTATTCATAATTTTACAAAACTGTCTTTTAATTTGATCTTGACAATAACAGTTATCCAGTCTGATTAAAAGTGTTCAAACAGAACCAGCTCAAACAAGAAATTAAATGTGATAATTCGCTGATTACCATTAAGAAATATATAATTACGTTAGCTGATTGTTATTTGCTATTGATGACAACGTTTATGGCAACATTTCCCACGAAATTGTCATATAGTGATTTAGACCAGCTTTGTTCTGATTTTGGCGGCAAACTATGTCTTTCAGTGTACGAAGTTGTAAAGTAACCCTCGGAAAACTCAATGTTGACTGCAACACAGCTGATGGTCTGTCAGTTTCTGCGGGAAAGAGCTGGACAGCTATCAAACCCTCGTCCAGCTTCTTTTATTTCTAAGAAAACTTAATATTTTATTATCAAACACCATCCACTTTATTAAAAACAAACAACCGATATTAGGTGGTAAACGCAGATGGTCTAGTTTTAATTTAAAAGGATTGACGTGAAACCTTCTTTCCAATGGAAAAAGCTATCTGTGATAATTTCTCTTCTCAAGTGCAGGACAGAACTGCCAAACCTTACAATTTTAAGATCAACACTGTGAACTTTTTGCTCTAGCCTTTTTAGTGTTAATTTTTTATTATCTTCACCTGGTAGGAAATTGAGGGAACATAACATGAATTGTTAAGCAAAAAAAAAACACTCATAAACTTCTGCTAAATTAATTTTCAATCGACAGCTGTTTAAATTTGTATATCCCACCGTTTTCACAGGACACTTTCATTAACTACCAATTTTAAAGAGTAAACGAACTATGAGTGTCTTTTTACTAATCAAAATATAATTTAATTTGAGCTCTTACGAATAAAAGCAGAACAAGAGAGCTTAAACCATTACGAACAAATTTCAGAACAAAAGGTTAATCGAGCGTGCTGTGGGCGAGAACTAGACAAGCATGAAGACTTTTGTTGTATTCTGCTTTTTGATGGCTTTCGTGATGGCTTCCCAAGCACAGAAAAAAGAAGCTACAGAGATGGACGAAAATGAACTGGCCATGGCTGCAGAGATTATGGATTTTGAAGCTGAAAAACAGGCTGCAGACACACCTAACGTGGTAAACGCGGATTTTGGTAAGTCATTTCATCATTTATGTATTTTAATTGCATGATGTTCCCCTATTTGTTCCAGTTAAAATTTGCCATTCACTGGCTTTCAGTTAAAACTAGTTAACTTTGTACGGTGCTGTTGTATTGCTCTTTCACGTTCAGTTTGGACGGTTTATTACTAATTCATAAAATAGTCGTCATTTGAAACAAAACAGAAATCAACCTTCTATCCGAACGTTATCCGTATGCATATCAAGGCACCGATTTTTTATTACTTGAATGCAATAGTTTGCCAATTCTCTAAAGACGCTCTTTTACAGAAAAAAATACTGTTAATTAAAGCACCCGAAATCTTTGGCTCGTTTATTAACATCAAGTTTTGCTTTTTCTTCCGCAGATTCGATGAAGAAGTAAAGATTGCAGACAGCAAGTGGAACCACTTCAATTCTAGATGCTGAAAAAAGATTATATTAAACAAAAAATGTATTAAAAAAGGAATTGTATATTTTGCGCATAAACACTGATTTGTGATGCCCTTTACAGAGATGTTGAAATAAACTGGAGAACGATTCATCATGCGTGATTAATTGCAAGAAATTCTGTTTCTGCACTCGACCTCCTAAGTTCTTGTTTCTCTTCTTGCTGTCTTTTAGCTTCTTTCTGTTTCACTGATCTTTTGTGATCACTCTACGCAGGCTTTCAGTGTTAAATTACTCGCACGCGGCTTCAGTATATTTTCCATTCGACAGCGGTGACCCTCTAAAGTCCGTTTGATTCATTAAAATTAAAGCGATTTCATGCGTAGCAAAATTCACAGTTCTTTTCGTAGGCTAATGCACAATTTCATCACAGGTTCTTACAGCTGTAAGAAATGGTGTCACTTTCATCAGAGGAAAACTCGCTCTGTCTGAACTCGCGCGTTAACTGCAGGAAGGGACGGAGGAATGAAAGATCGTCCAAACATGAGCTGAAACAGATCAAGAAAAATGATCTAGCGAGGTGGTTAAAGGAGTAAGGATTTAATTTGCATGGAACTTAAACATAGACACTAGCAAAAGAAAATATTTTCCGACATACTTCTAGCTGGATGCGCAAACCTTCACCTCCCCTACCCCCGTTAAGTTGCCGGTCAATGCATAAGGGAATAATACAGTCGTCTAACAATCCATATCTAGCAACCAATACGCCCCCCTCCCAATCTTCGCACCCTTACCCAAATCGCTCCGTAATGCACGGGCTATTTCTCTTAACCTACACGTCACTCTCGAGCTCCGGCCACTGACAGAGGAGTGCGTACATATGGTACCACTGGGAGGTTCAGTTTAATTGTCTTATGGCTATTAGTTAAAACAACTAAACATCAATTGTGTCGAAACATATCTTTATTTTTAAAGCCACAATTTCCATTCTGGCCAGTTATTGAAGCCACAATGTGACTCCCGCACCAGATATTCAAGCCACAAAGTACATTAAATGTAGAGATGAATGAAAATGTGTAATTATTTGGATTCAATGTTTCCATATTAATTGTAAATTCATCAATTCCAAACTTCCAAACTTCCAAACAAACAAACAAAAAAAAACCAGGTAATTGCTTCTTTGTTCCCATGAAGAGAATTGCGACATCTTTGAAAGTTAAATCATTTCATCACAGAAACCTGCACACAGTTACTGCTCACAGACACATTGTAAAACGATAAATTGGATTAAAAGCTGCATCAGTCTAGAAGTGTGACTCAAGGATTGCTAAATGAAAATCACTGGATAAATAACAGACTGATATTTCTTAATCACTGGTTAAAAAGATATTCATGTTTATCAACTGCTGGTTAAATAACATATTCATATTTATCCACACATCATGTCACAGGGTTCCCTCCTTGCCTTGCACCAGCCGACTTTTCAATCTCCAAATGTCCTAAAGCAAAAATAATAATAATTATAATAATAATAGTAAAAATAATAATAAGTAATAATAATAAGTAATCGTGAGAGTAATTTCAAAATCAGACGAGCATGAGGCCGATTCAATATTATGAGCATGATTACTCCCTGAATTGTACGACATGAGGTCCAAGTACTAATTAATCATATCTATAACAAATTTCAGAATTAAAATGTCTTTTGAGAACTTCTTTTGAGCGAAAACGTCTGTAACTCTTTTCATAAGTTTGAAAACTGTAGGAAACAGTGCAAAGGAAGCCATTAAAGCAAGCATAATAATTATTGATGTGCGAATCACATGGGTATCCAATTACAGGTATCCGATTACAAAAAGTTCAAATTGGATACCTGTGATTGGACACCCACGTGATTGCACGCCAATTACGTAACAAATAGGCATGCAGAGAACCAATTACGATCAAGAATTTTGTTATAGATACAATAATCATAATCATATTCATAATCATAATAAAAGAAAAAAGAAAAAAGCAAGGGCTACAAAAATTGAAAAGGGAAATTAAGTTTGATATTTTATATTCATGAACCATTAACAAAATACTAATTCTACCCATCAAGAAATAATCAATATTAGATGGTGTAAATCTACCTGTAAAAAATATCTATGTTATGAGCAAGTAGGGTTGTCAGTATTCCCCTTGTGTAAGATGATAGCAAATCACAAGTTATGTCCATTATTCTGTCATTGAGGCTGTCCTAATGCTTGCTGCAACCCAGCCTTTATTCTGTAGTTATCCTCCTGGCTGAAATAGGCCATTTTGCGGTTCCAGAAAATATCCATACTCCCCCCACAGAAGGGATTGAAATTTCTTGGGGGGTGGGGGTTCTATGAGACCAAAAAAATTTGAAGAAATGTATGAAGCTTAACTGGAATTTCCAGAGGGGTGGGGAGGTGTTAGAAAAAATCCCTTCCGTAGGGGAGGTATGGATATTTTCTGGAACTACACATTACGACACAACACAAGTGTACAAATGACTCTGGCTGAGGCTCAAACTAAGATCACTTAGTCTGGTGTCCAACAGGAGAACCATGAGGTTACCACATTCCCCCCCTTCCCCTACCCCTCCCCTTCCCCCTACCCCTCACTCCTCCCCCCCCCCACACACATAAAATTCAAGTTAAAGAAAATATTTACAAACATACCGTATAAGAAAAATCTATATCATCGCCCAGTTTCTTGCGTGCTATCCCCAAAACTTCTGTTTCAATATACTCCTGTGATGTTCCCTTGATATCAATGTAATAACAGTGAGAACTGGCATAGTGACCTGAGATAGCCTGACGATAACAATACACAAGTCTGAGTTCATGTTAAATATAATACTACAGTGTAGATAATAACAAACAATCATACACAACAAACGCATACTGTACATGTACTGTCAACGTATCACACTTAAAAATTAGGAGAGAAAATAACATTGTACTCTACTAGCACAATTTGTCTAAATAAATGGTACTTTTACACTGTACTCCTAAAACAACCCTCACAAATGTCGCCAGCCCCACCCACCCTTCTCAGGATTGGCAGAAGATTAATCTATTACTGAGCAAAATAATCTGCTGAAAAGGGCAAGTACACACTGTGTACATTAACACATTTTTGAAGAGAAATAATTTCATACAAAGGAATACAATATACATTTATCAAAAGAATAGTTTAACAACATTTTTAAAACAAATGTTCAAGGCCGTGTCCACAATATGTGCGGCCTGGAGAATTTTCTGTCCATGCTACGCTGGAGGAATTTAAAACTGCGACAATCACCAGTCATTTAGGATTTGTGTTTGAGGAAAACTTGTGCAGGGAAATCACATGATAATCATTATAGTGACGCCATCATTTTCAAAAAGCTCTGTTTTCAAAATGTTTTCTGTCTACACAAAAACGAAAGGCCACCATTTTCAAATTCCTCTGGTTTGAAGAGTGTTTTCATGACAGGTTAGTGTGGATGGTAGGCCTAAACGCTCTAAATAAAGCTGTCAAAAATTATTGTGTGACTATAAGGAAGTGAATTGTTTTGTGCCAGGTGGTCAGGGTTAACAATGGCCTCTCTTAAAACATTCCTCAATATAGCTAAACTACAATTAATTCTATGTACATGCAATATAATATAACCCTAATAAAATAAGTGTCAAGGTTAATATGAATCATTGTTTGAGTGGTACCTTTCTGAATCCAGTTGTTTGGTTTGCACCTGAGCCATGTATGAGAAGAGGGTGAAAGAAAACTGTATCCCCAGGATTCATTTCCAAGTGCAGCAATGGGATACTAGCATCATAATCTTTAATGCCATGATACATTGAATTCACTCCACCCTGAAAATTATCGTTATATTTCATATACAGTTAATGACAATTAAATAACATGTAAATGTTTTGTGCGAGAGCAAATAGCTACAAGTTATTACATTTATTTAGCCTCAGACTACTTTCTGTTGACAAGTCAGGCATCACACACTCCTTCCCAGTGTTGTTTGGGAGGGATATATGACACATGACAAACCAAAAGAAAGTCTGACTGGTGGGTGACATGAATGCAACAAAAAAAATTGCTTAGAAAGTGATTTATTGGTACCTAGTCAAGCATCTCAGTCATGCTTGTTTAATGCAGGGTATGTAAACAAAGCAGGCTAACTAAAGGACTTTTGAAAAAACACTGACCCCCAATCAGCTGACCCACTTCTGACCCCCTCTACTGAGCCCCTATAAAATCAACAGAAAAAAGAAAATAAAGCCCAGAACTATCAGTGAGACCGATTCAGGTTCATTCATAAATTTAGCTGACCTGAAATTTCCAAGATAGCAGATGCACTACAGTTTTCGGACTCTCCTCTCCTATGATTGTCAACTGGTGCAGGTATTTTTTTACGGAAAATCGAGCTTGGGATAAGTGGATAATATCATCAAGGTTAGTATGGTATTTGTACCCATTAGAAAATAAGGCAATGAAAGTAAAAAAGAAAACTCTGACAAATGAGCTCAGATGCAACTGATTGCAGGCAACCTGTGTAAGCATCGACCAGTTTTTAGGATAGGATGGATAGGATAGGTCGCCAAAATTAACTTCTGGTTAATGTACCATGTGCATGTTGACCATGGTCACTCGAGTGCATGGCATGTTCATTTGCCAGCGTTTCTCCTTTATTTTCATTGCTTTATTTTCTAACAGTTACGAATACCTGATGATCTTCCAACTTATTCTGTGCTCACTTTTCCGTAAACCAAACCTCTGTCCAAATTAAAATGCAAACCCTTGGTTTTTCTCAAATGCTCTTTTTCCTGCTGTTTTTACATGTCTAAGGGGTCAGTGCGTCAGTATTTTGTCAAAGTGTGCAAGTCTAATGATGTTTCTCAGAAACTTCTGGGCAAAAGAATAATCCATGGACATTTTTGAGAGAAAGTGGAAGTGGAGGGGGATAGAGAGAATACCCAAACTCAAGGTTTGGCAAATCTGGCAGCCTGAAATACCAGGCATGACAATTTTTAAAAATTACATCTTTATACTACCAAAAAACTTAGACCATGTTAATGATGCAAGTTAAAACAGCTAGCCGTTCAAAAAAGATAAACCAATATATGCTATAAAGTGAGACAACGCACCTCCCATTTAGGATAAAAGTGTGGCAGAAGTGGATTGTAATGGGTTCCTGGCTGTACCACTAAACATCCATTTCGCTGATGCACTTTCTCCATTGCCGTCCAGGAGCATACCATTCGATTGGCTGGACGGAAAGGAAAGTAATGTAAATCTTGATGGAGTGGATGACGTGAAGTCATGGTTCCAGGATCTGGAGGTTTGTTTATCAGCATAGTATGCATTGACTTGATGTCAGGGCCGGTGAAGCAGGCCACGTACTTTAGAATCTGTGGCAGCTCGCAGTAACTAAAAAGAACCTCGTCGTTCTCGAAATTCTGAAGCTTATTTACTGTTCTCTCGCCTGAAGGACGGTTGGATTTCACGTGAGTGACATCTTTCATCACTGTGATGCCTGGTACTCTGACTTCACCATCACATATTTGATTGAAGCGTTCAAGATATTCATTCAGGAGTTCTTGTGGAACAAGATTTCGGATCACCAGGTAGCCATTCTTGTTATAGAAATCGACCTGTTCTTGGCTCAAGACATCATTTGGCACCACCAGACTATCAGGAGCGGCGACGTCTGTGGTCGTTTCCGATACTTCTGACGAGTTTGAGTGCAGTGTCGGAGGGGTAAGATGCTCTGAAATCACTGCAAGCCTCTTCTGAACGCGATCCGCCATAATGCTGTTGTTGTTCTTTTCAGCAGCGTGAAGCTTTATGGGTAACCTTGAGCGGCATCCGCCCCCTTCCTTCCCCATTCCGTTTTTTGCGGGGAGGCGTGGATGCACGCAGGCTGCAAATTTGAGCGCAGTGTGATTTGAACAGAATAGAGTCTTAAGCATTTTATAGACCAGTGTACCAAGTCAATTACGATCAACCAAACGTGGAGGACTCCAAGTCGATCTCCCACGAAGCCTTTCAGTTTGGGTCGTCGTCACGCAACGCTGCTGTGTGAGAGAAGCGTTGTGTTTCGCGCCCAAATATAATAACAGCTGCGTAATAGATAGACTCCAGCGCAAAAGGTCTTTGGATTCTTTGGGCTCGTCAGACAATCTTTCGTAGGGAAGGAAGATAGAGGGGCGACAGGAACCATAATCGATTTTGGCTCCTGGTGGCGAGCCTTCGCATTTCGGAGGAGGAGCGCAGTCAGCGGGTACGTAAGTAGACAGTAAATCTCACAGTACAGGACAGGACAGATATATATAAAGGGTTTTAGAAAGCGCGACAAGATTTGATGAATGAGTACTTGACGTCTCTCGTTTCCAGGGCTTTTCCATTGAAATTTGGAACAAGAGGTTGCAAGTTTTGGTAGTAATACCACTCTTGAAGTCTTCAAAAGTGCTCGGGATACTCCTAGATATATTTTTCAGACACGGCAGGCTAGAATTTAACGACGAAAAGTAAGTCACCTCAAAAACTTACAAGGCTTGTTTGTAAATAACAAGTACATTTCATCAAACGGAGGTAAAACTAGACTACGAGTAGTCCCTCTTTCGCTTAGTCCGTCGTGCATGACGCGAAAGAAAACCGCGAGAAAAAAACTGGCCGCGCGAAATCCTGGAGGCGAGAAGCGCCCTCAGGATTTCGCGCGGCCATGTTTTTCTCGCGGTTTTCTTTCGCGTCACGCACGACGGACTAAGCGAGAGAGGGACTAATCGTAGTCTAAGGTAAAACAGAAGGGGTCGAGATCAAGGAAAATTCATCAGAGGTTCACAGTTTACAACTGTAGTAAACCAGACAGGCTGTTTCTCATTTTATACCAATTTCTTTAATAGTAGTTACAAAAAACGGTGCTATCCAAAACTCTTATGCTATTGCTGTGTTTCTGTTCTTATCTAAGCTATCTGTTTATCCTAATTTGACAAAGAAAGGAAAGGTGGCAAGAACCTATGATTCAAAATTGTCCCGCAATTCTATAAAAGAAGTCTTCATCGGTTTTATTGTTAGTGAAAGATTACATTGTCTTGTTTTAGTGCAGTGTACCTCATTTACAGGTTACGAATCACAGTATCAAACCACAGCATTCGATTTTCCCCCCCTTTTTTTTCTTTTCTTTTCTTTTTTTTTTTTTCTTCGTGACAATAATCCAAATCTCTACACTGCGAAACTGAAGCTTAGCTAATAAACACAAGATACCCAAAACATATTTTAAGAATTCTGCCTTGATCCAAAATTGTCANTTTTTTTTTTGGTCCTTTTATTCTAGTAATTCCCAGGTTTCATGTTACGCATAGCTGTGAAACAGCGGATTTTATTCCATAACTTGCACGCTACCCGTGCCTCGAACACCGCTGAGCATGTCGGCTCTGAAGGTGGCAGACACTCTGCACAGTCCCGCGCGGTAAGGCGTTAATTTGAAAGAGGTCTGCACCTCTTTTCCTTCTGGGACAATTGCGCTGAAATATAAACAAGCAAGTAAATGTAGTCAATATATGAGCAGGTAAAGTGGGTAAAAGTCCTACGAACAAAGTATCCCCAAATGAACACAATGGGCCGATGAACTGGGTCATACCGTCTTCGGAAATAAGAGAACTGAACTTCACCACTTTTTGTTAACTTTTTTTCACTTTTTACTTTTCCTCGACGTTAAGGTGAAAACTTATCCCCCTTTGCCGACGCATATGCAGCATTTAATGGGGTTTTTGGTTGGTTATAACATTTCTGAGTGCTTGAAGGGTTAACCGAACTGATTTCTACAGATTGCTGTTCAGTTTGTTAATCTACACCACCGTCGCGTCTTGCAGTGTCGTAGCGAGCTCACAGATGTACCATATTGAAAGGCCGCATGAAGGGCAAGAAAGACAAGTATATACCCAGAGAGGAGCTTTAGCGGTGAAATGTCCTGTAGTAATACTAATACTTACTTAATACTTACCTGTTTGGAATAACTTTAGACTTTGGGTTTGTTCCTGATGTCTCAATGTACCACTTTCCTCCTGTTATTTTAACTGGTAAAGGATTCACGAACGACAGTTTGACCTCAAAGTCTCTGCCTACTCTGGCTTCACCTCGAGTGATCTAAAGAAAAATGGCTCATTAAATTAAAAATACAGGTGGCTGATTTTCGTCTAGGCGAAGGTTTTCGCGAAAACTGTCAATATTTTGCTACCACAATTTTGCTATCACTTACGCTGTAACTTCGGTTCAAGCGCATTGTTTCCAACTCTTCCCGTTTTATAAGCTCAGTAAATCAAATCCAACATTTACCTCCATAATTAAGTTGGGCCTCTGGAAATCAACTGTGTCATACGAAGCAAATCTCTGACCATTTTCCTTCACGGTCGCCTTGACATAAACCTTGAGCCCTCCATCTGCTTCACACTTGTCAAGATACATCGCTGCTGGGAAGTCCATGATAAAGCTCTTTTCTGCAGTGGAATAAAAGAGAGCAGCTAGATTAAGGCAACTAACGGATCGATTATTCCTCCAGTCTTCCTGTTTATATTATGAAGATCTGCCAATGGTGTCATTTTGAAGTTTATTTTTGTCATTTAACTGCACGCCTCTATCTCATAACGAGCCCTTTTTAAGTAGACTTTTTATTTGCACAAACCGAAACCAAGCATTGTTGTGTGTGGTTTTTAACGAAAAGGAACACTTAAAAGTTTGTCCTCTTTCATGAAAACGTAATCAGAATGAAGAGTTTGAAACATACCTTAGTTTGTCCATACAATTCCTAAAACCTTTTCCTTATACATCTCCTCTACATGTATGTATGTAGATCATGGTCTCTTGATGTATGCCACAATATGATTTATCTTGTCGAGCTGTTCAGTGAAACATTTACAACTGTACTGTTTCAGTGCAGCACAAAGAAGGCAGTCCTAATATTTAGTCTAAATACGCTTTGTAAGAAACGAGAAACCGATTCTGAGGTTTTTATTCACCTTGTCTTGGGTCTACAATGATTTCAAATACTTCCTCCTTCAAATCCTTGCATGGTATCCCAGTGTAAAAACCAATCATTCCTGTCATCTTTCCCTTGATTGTACGCCTTTGGTAAGTGGTGTTTTTCATCTTCAATGCCACGCTAACGCCCTTTCCAATGGGCACGTCATCCGGCAATTCAAAAGAGAATTTCACGTCTTCTATGGACAGTCCATAGATGGCTTGATCTTTGCGGCTGCTGTACTTGTATGCCATCTCTACAGCACGGCGTTCGTGTATGGAACCTATCGTTGTTGAAATGGCAAAGTAATTAATAACGAGCCAGCTGGTCAAGTGAAAAGCTCTAATTAATATAACAAGCTTGCTGAAATCAACCTGCTACAAGAGAAGCAATTGTAAAGTCAATGATTTATGTATGGTAAAAGCAGTGGCAAATAATTGATTGACTAACTGATTGATTGATTGATTGATTGATCGATCGATCGATCGATCGATTGATTGGTTGATTGTTTAGTTGGTTGATTAGTTGATTGATTGATTGATTGATTGATTGATTGATTGATTGATTGATTGACCGACCGATTGACTGACTGACTGACTGACTGATTGATTGATTGATTGATTGATTGATTGATTGATTGATTGACAAAAAAATCTTCCAGCCTGCATGTATGTAACCCAAATTTACTATTAACTGGGATGTTGGGTGTGGTCGAAGGGCATAACTGTACCGTCATTTAGGGGGCGGGGAGCCTGATTNTGATTGATTGATTGATTGATTGATTGATTGATTGATTGATTGACAAAAAAATCTTCCAGCCTGCATGTATGTAACCCAAATTTACTATTAACTGGGATGTTGGGTGTGGTCGAAGGGCATAACTGTACCGTCATTTAGGGGGCGGGGAGCCTGATTTTCGCAGACAACCCATTTGGCGGATTAGAGTTGTTTTACATCCGTTCGGTACCTCGAGTTTGTTTCACCATTCAGAACGACTTCTCGCTGTGGAACAGATTGTTAAAGGAACAGATGCTTCTTTCCGTTCAAAATAAAACTCAAAACTAATAGTTTGCTAATGCAAGAAACTCATAAAAAAAATCAGTTTAAAAGGATCGTCAGGATCGGGGACATTAAAATCGATTAGGAATAACGCACTATAGAAATGATTTATTTAAGCTAACGGTTTATTTTGGCCATGACTTATTCATTGAATTAAAAGCCCAACCACAAAACATGGGCTCTTCAGTTTGCTTTGGTTTCCTTTAAGGCGCTAAGCAAATGTAACAAAAACCTTCGCTGACTTACGATCTTAATAATAACGTACATACATCGCTTGGGTTACCTCTCGAAGCATTTTTCCTCAACCTTACCTTCAGGATGTTTATATTCGTGAGTAATGTCATCCCTCTTGTCACTGCCAATAGCTTTGGTGCTGATCATCTTTCCAATGCACTTTTTATCAACCCTGATCACTTTCATTTGACCGTTCTCTTCCACTTCCCAGAAGACTCGGTCGCCATTCACTTCAGCAAACACGAAGTTTGTATCGTAGGGTAGATACACTTCTCCTTGCTTCACTGCTTTCACTGAGGCTGGACCACAACGAAATACTCCTGGATGTTTGATAATGGAATATTATGACGTAATACGGCTCATTTTAGTTAGGAACGCGTAAACTATTTTTAAAAGTAAGTGCTGCATGTAATCCAGTATTCAACTACCTGGTAACTGGGAAACAAATTACCGCTGAAAAGTTTTCTACGATAAGTTGACAGGTGAATTAAACAATATTCTAAAAAGTAATCCCAAGTATTACTTAGCGAAAAGATTTACGTTTGGTTTAAAGATTTTTCCAAACCGAGCTTCAATTCTTTTCGCTCACGTTGTTACTTTTGTTAGTGAACAACTTTCCTCTTCTATTGACCTTTTTTTGCTCCATCCCACAGGCACGCCAAGCTTTAACATGTCTATTTCTCTTTCAGAAAGGTCATGACTGCTACACAGGCTCTGTTTCCTAAACTGAGTCTTTAACATTTCTATTGAGAAACGATCGATATTTTCTTAGACAATGGGCTTGACGCGTCTTGAGAAGAGAAATCGCGCTTTAATTGTTGCTTTGTTGGCTTTGAGAAAAATAGATTTTCCTACCATAGCTTGTCTCTTGAGGTGTGGCATCATGAGCCTGCCATCCATCATGACCATCTGGTAAATCAGGACGCTTGAACCATGACTCGTTCCACACGTGAAAATTCCTGAAATCACGATAAAAGGTTAGGTGTTAAATTTGCCCTTTGCTCGAATGGCGAAGGGTGAGCTGAGGTTGGGAAAGGGACTTTTGTCGTCCCATTACTTGCACTTACGGTCTTCGCGAGTTCCGAGTGGCAAGTAACCAACTTAACACATAAGCACATTTCTGACTGAAACAATACATTCTTCTCACCAAACAGAGTCGTCTAGTTCCTTGAGCGGTTTGCCGTCCTCGTCGAAATGGAAGTCTATGGTCATGCTGGCGTCTGAGTCGTGTGCAGAGGCAAAGTTTGTCACTGACCGGGTGGGTATACCTATCGCCCTAAGCACTGAGAAAATAAAACATATCAGCGAGGTTTAATTAGCATTATTAAAAACTTGAACATGGGATAATGCAATTCAATAGTTTTCACTGGCCGGTTAGCCATCATAGACATAGCATTATACAATTGGATCAATTTAAAGGTTTCTCGTCTGTTTCTTGGACAAGAGTTATTAATAGTTTAGTTCTCTTATTTGGTCCAACATGCAACAAAGAATACACTAGCGCTTTGCTCAGTTTGTGAACCATACGTAGAATGGAAAATACTTCTATTCATAAAATAACTGTGATACTACACGCGCTCTCATTGGTTGATAGGTGTGTTTAGATAAGAGTATGTAAACCACGATTGTGACGTTTTAGATTCGAGCGAATTTTTGAGAAATATTTTATAAAAGCAATAGAGTACTTTTTCTGTGTTCATCGAAACCTTTTGGGTGTTGGAGAGTGCATGATGCAAACCCTCGACTGCGTCTCGGCTTTGTATGCATAACTGTCTCGAATTTTCCAAACGCCCCTACTGTTTAGATGAGCGAGGCTATTTAACCACGGAAAATTGCTCTATATGCTTAAAGAATTGTTTGTGTCACAACATTTCAGTTAAGCAAGACGTTCAAGGTTCAAAGTCCACATACATGTAGTAACAAGTCCTGAAAAGACCCAGCACTGAGCGAACTTCACCACATTCTTCTTCTGCCAGAACTGCTCCAAGATGGCGACGCTGCCAGACCAGGCTGTAGGAGGGGTGGTGTCCTTGGGGTAGTTACTGTCCCAGCGACCGTAAAGAACACCTCCATCTTGATCATTGAAGTTTGCCTAAAAACACCACATGGACTCAGATGACTCCGTACTGCAATGAAGCTTAAAACTGGTGTTTTGACCTTACCATAGTGTTGCATGGTGCAACCTCATTCTGCGGGCCTTTCTTCTTCCCGATCTAGGGAGAAGGGCGACAAGGGGCGGGTAGAAGGGAGACCCTGGGAACGAATTTGTTCCATGGTATTGCCTTTGTAAACTTAGGCTCAGTCTTGTAGTATGAGATCTTCCACTCGCATACGTACTCGCGAGAATCCTATATCTCCAAAAATAATAACTGTTAACAGTACAACAAAACAGCAAACATTTTACCATGGCAGAGATACAGCGTGTGACTCGGAGAGGATTCGCACGCGCCCCGGTAGCAAGCTGTGCTCTTTCCAGGAGCCACAAACAAGAGTTCAATGACACATCTTCGAACTGAAAAAAATGGAAAATGAAATGTGAGAATTCAAGATAAACCTGAAAGAAAACTCACGAAGCTGAATCGAAACTGCTTAGTTGGTTTAGTTTTCCCTTTCCGCAGTTTAGGAAACACTCCATAGAGTTAACTCAGTTTTTATATTACAGTTGAAGCTACCAAAAAGACGTGAAACCATCTCCAGCGAGCAATGACAATTCAAACGCACACTTTAACTATCGATCAACCACTTGTGATTACTTACTTATAAACGGCTGAGATACGGCACACTGAACTGCACTAGATGCTTCGATTATGGATACCACTTTCCGATCCGCAAACTTAAAAATGCACTGCCCAAAAGCTATTTGAATAAATTATACGACGAAACAAGCGCCTTATTCCAACACGTAATACAATACAATACAAAATGCACTTGCTAAGTAACCNCGCAGACAACCCATTTGGCGGATTAGAGTTGTTTTACATCCGTTCGGTACCTCGAGTTTGTTTCACCATTCAGAACGACTTCTCGCTGTGGAACAGATTGTTAAAGGAACAGATGCTTCTTTCCGTTCAAAATAAAACTCAAAACTAATAGTTTGCTAATGCAAGAAACTCATAAAAAAAATCAGTTTAAAAGGATCGTCAGGATCGGGGACATTAAAATCGATTAGGAATAACGCACTATAGAAATGATTTATTTAAGCTAACGGTTTATTTTGGCCATGACTTATTCATTGAATTAAAAGCCCAACCACAAAACATGGGCTCTTCAGTTTGCTTTGGTTTCCTTTAAGGCGCTAAGCAAATGTAACAAAAACCTTCGCTGACTTACGATCTTAATAATAACGTACATACATCGCTTGGGTTACCTCTCGAAGCATTTTTCCTCAACCTTACCTTCAGGATGTTTATATTCGTGAGTAATGTCATCCCTCTTGTCACTGCCAATAGCTTTGGTGCTGATCATCTTTCCAATGCACTTTTTATCAACCCTGATCACTTTCATTTGACCGTTCTCTTCCACTTCCCAGAAGACTCGGTCGCCATTCACTTCAGCAAACACGAAGTTTGTATCGTAGGGTAGATACACTTCTCCTTGCTTCACTGCTTTCACTGAGGCTGGACCACAACGAAATACTCCTGGATGTTTGATAATGGAATATTATGACGTAATACGGCTCATTTTAGTTAGGAACGCGTAAACTATTTTTAAAAGTAAGTGCTGCATGTAATCCAGTATTCAACTACCTGGTAACTGGGAAACAAATTACCGCTGAAAAGTTTTCTACGATAAGTTGACAGGTGAATTAAACAATATTCTAAAAAGTAATCCCAAGTATTACTTAGCGAAAAGATTTACGTTTGGTTTAAAGATTTTTCCAAACCGAGCTTCAAATCTTTTCGCTCACGTTGTTACTTTTGTTAGTGAACAACTTTCCTCTTCTATTGACCTTTTTTTGCTCCATCCCACAGGCACGCCAAGCTTTAACATGTCTATTTCTCTTTCAGAAAGGTCATGACTGCTACACAGGCTCTGTTTCCTAAACTGAGTCTTTAACATTTCTATTGAGAAACGATCGATATTTTCTGAGACAATGGGCTTGACGCGTCTTGAGAAGAGAAATCGCGCTTTAATTGTTGCTTTGTTGGCTTTGAGAAAAATAGATTTTCCTACCATAGCTTGTCTCTTGAGGTGTGGCATCATGAGCCTGCCATCCATCATGACCATCTGGTAAATCAGGACGCTTGAACCATGACTCGTTCCACACGTGAAAATTCCTGAAATCACGATAAAAGGTTAGGTGTTAAATTTGCCCTTTGCTCGAATGGCGAAGGGTGAGCTGAGGTTGGGAAAGGGACTTTTGTCGTCCCATTACTTGCACTTACGGTCTTCGCGAGTTCCGAGTGGCAAGTAACCAACTTAACACATAAGCACATTTCTGACTGAAACAATACATTCTTCTCACCAAACAGAGTCGTCTAGTTCCTTGAGCGGTTTGCCGTCCTCGTCGAAATGGAAGTCTATGGTCATGCTGGCGTCTGAGTCGTGTGCAGAGGCAAAGTTTGTCACTGACCGGGTGGGTATACCTATCGCCCTAAGCACTGAGAAAATAAAACATATCAGCGAGGTTTAATTAGCATTATTAAAAACTTGAACATGGGATAATGCAATTCAATAGTTTTCACTGGCCGGTTAGCCATCATAGACATAGCATTATACAATTGGATCAATTTAAAGGTTTCTCGTCTGTTTCTTGGACAAGAGTTATTAATAGTTTAGTTCTCTTATTTGGTCCAACATGCAACAAAGAATACACTAGCGCTTTGCTCAGTTTGTGAACCATACGTAGAATGGAAAATACTTCTATTCATAAAATAACTGTGATACTACACGCGCTCTCATTGGTTGATAGGTGTGTTTAGATAAGAGTATGTAAACCACGATTGTGACGTTTTAGATTCGAGCGAATTTTTGAGAAATATTTTATAAAAGCAATAGAGTACTTTTTCTGTGTTCATCGAAACCTTTTGGGTGTTGGAGAGTGCATGATGCAAACCCTCGACTGCGTCTCGGCTTTGTATGCATAACTGTCTCGAATTTTCCAAACGCCCCTACTGTTTAGATGAGCGAGGCTATTTAACCACGGAAAATTGCTCTATATGCTTAAAGAATTGTTTGTGTCACAACATTTCAGTTAAGCAAGACGTTCAAGGTTCAAAGTCCACATACATGTAGTAACAAGTCCTGAAAAGACCCAGCACTGAGCGAACTTCACCACATTCTTCTTCTGCCAGAACTGCTCCAAGATGGCGACGCTGCCAGACCAGGCTGTAGGAGGGGTGGTGTCCTTGGGGTAGTTACTGTCCCAGCGACCGTAAAGAACACCTCCATCTTGATCATTGAAGTTTGCCTAAAAACACCACATGGACTCAGATGACTCCGTACTGCAATGAAGCTTAAAACTGGTGTTTTGACCTTACCATAGTGTTGCATGGTGCAACCTCATTCTGCGGGCCTTTCTTCTTCCCGATCTAGGGAGAAGGGCGACAAGGGGCGGGTAGAAGGGAGACCCTGGGAACGAATTTGTTCCATGGTATTGCCTTTGTAAACTTAGGCTCAGTCTTGTAGTATGAGATCTTCCACTCGCATACGTACTCGCGAGAATCCTATATCTCCAAAAATAATAACTGTTAACAGTACAACAAAACAGCAAACATTTTACCATGGCAGAGATACAGCGTGTGACTCGGAGAGGATTCGCACGCGCCCCGGTAGCAAGCTGTGCTCTTTCCAGGAGCCACAAACAAGAGTTCAATGACACATCTTCGAACTGAAAAAAATGGAAAATGAAATGTGAGAATTCAAGATAAACCTGAAAGAAAACTCACGAAGCTGAATCGAAACTGCTTAGTTGGTTTAGTTTTCCCTTTCCGCAGTTTAGGAAACACTCCATAGAGTTAACTCAGTTTTTATATTACAGTTGAAGCTACCAAAAAGACGTGAAACCATCTCCAGCGAGCAATGACAATTCAAACGCACACTTTAACTATCGATCAACCACTTGTGATTACTTACTTATAAACGGCTGAGATACGGCACACTGAACTGCACTAGATGCTTCGATTATGGATACCACTTTCCGATCCGCAAACTTAAAAATGCACTGCCCAAAAGCTATTTGAATAAATTATACGACGAAACAAGCGCCTTATTCCAACACGTAATACAATACAATACAAAATGCACTTGCTAAGTAACC